TAAATGATCATTAATTCAAAGAACAGGGTGTGTGAGAATGACCCTTGTGCTCCTTGTTCAGGACACGTCCTTGAGATCTGTTACTGCTTGTTTACCTGCTGTAGTAGGGACTTCATCTGCCCCAGGTGACAGCCATTTAGCCAAAATGCAGGAAGCTCAACTACTAACCAATTCCACTGGCACCACCTGAAAAGGGGTATTTGAAGCATTTTTTTAACCCATCTGACACTAAGTGTAATTTGCTTGCTTGCTTAAAGAGATGCCTGAAAAACCTCACACAGAATCCTGGCTGGTATGTCTTGGTTTGTTTGTGTTAGGGAAAAATATTTTATTCTGGTCAGGCAGAGCATAGGGAGCTCCAAGTTACCAGGACTATGAAAAATCAAATATTTGTATGAACCTGTATTTCATCTCTCCCACCTTGTTACCACAAAACCAAGGTAGGATGGATGACAAGGAAACTTTTTGTTAATAGGTCTATTACTTTGACAGTATCTCTCCTGGAGCTCTGATTCAAAAAGGGCATGAGAGGCTTCCTGCCTTTTCAGCTGTTGCAAAAATCAAGCTTGCTGGTTACAGAAGTGTAACACATTTGATATTTATTTGATAAATAACAAAACAGGGAACACAGGGCAAATCTGTCCATCAGCACTAGCTGTGCCACTGACAGGTGTGTGATAGATCAGGTGAGATGCATCACCTGGAGATGCAATTTGGCTCCATCAGAGAGCTGACGCTGTAAGTACATAATCCCTTCTAGTGGGAAGCTCTGCTTTTAGTCTTATTTTCAAGAAAGGAGTAATTGGTAATATTTAGGGAATAATAACAATAGTAACAATAATTAAGTAAATCTGCCTTAGAGAGCTTTTTTATAAGGGAAAGAAATCTAGGGAAGCAAGGAAGGAACCAGCTTGACTTAAGTGAGTGGCAAGAGAAGGCGGACAAAAACCACCCAGCTGGGATGGAGGCTGTCCTGAGCTGTCACAGCTCTGATCCTGGTACCTAGCCCAGGGTTTGCACCTTCCTGCTGTGCAGTGCCATGGCACTGCCACTCAGCTACTCCCAACAGCTCAGTGTCTGCCACCATCCCATGTCCCACAGCTTTTTGGGAGGCTGGATTCAAGGCCTCAGGGAGACCCATCAGTAGGTCAGACCCTCAAGCACTCTGCTCAAACTCCTGCTCTCCCCCAGGGTTTAAACTTCAGCCATTCTCCAAAGATCTTGGGTAATCATTAGCCAGGGAATCAATGCTGGTTTTGCGTAATCATTGTGAGGTGCTATCTCTGAGTTCTATTTGTCCTAGCAAATAACAGATAACAGATCTAAGAGAAATAGTCTGATGAAACATTTGAAACGTAGGTCAGAAACCAGCTTGAAGCTGAGGTGGAAGGCTGTAAACCCTCCTGCTTCCCCAGCACCCACAGAACAAACCTTGCCCTCTGCTTTTCCCCCAGCATGTCCACAGCACCTTCTGGATGCACTCCTAACATATGGCTAAAGACACTTACTGTTACACATTTCAAGGAAATGAGTTTCAGGGCAACTTTAAAACCAGTGCTATCACTCCATACACATCAGTATCTAACAGAAAATAATGGACTAAGCAGGGGAACATCTGTTCAGTGTGAATCCCTCTCTCCCGTGGCTTCCCTAACAAATACAAGATAATTTTAGAGGTTTGAGCATTTGGCATCTAAAAAAATTTGCTTAGAATTACATAAAAATACAATTTTCAGCTGTGGGCCCCACTGTCATGCCCCCTTTCATTATAGCCTCTGTGGCTCCATGAATGGGTCACTGTAAAAATGAGGGCAACTTCCCCACATACCAGCTCCACACAGCAGGGAGCAGATATCCAGCTCTGCATTTGATTTCTGGCTGCCAGGGTGCTGAGCAATATGACATGGTGGGGAGACCTGACCACCTGCAGCGCTGGCTCCTGGGGTGAGGCCACAAGGAGAAACTGGGAGCTGGTGACTGCAACCACTTTGTGTGGTTCAGGAGTCACACTGGCTACATACGTGCAGTTGTGCCCTGGCAGTGACTCTCACTAGTCACACAAGAGGGTTGGGGCACTGAGCATGGCTTATTGGGCAATCAGGGCCCTGCCCCACATAATTTTTTTATTCAGTGATTGCTGTCTGCGGAGGGAAAGCAGAAAACCATTTCTCTTCATATAGTCATCTTAATCCATCATTTTGCCTCAGGTGAGTGCTGTCCTGTTACAACTTGACACCGAGCCCCTCTTGGATCATGCCAAAATCCTTGTCATCCAGTATCCCATCTTTGTAGCAGCAGCCACCCAAAGATGCCTGTGGAAGAAGGTTTTCCTAACAGGGCTCTCAGCTTTTCCCACGTCTGGAAGCAACTTTTGCATGCTCAGTAACCCCCAGTGCCTTGCTTCTTCATGCACATAGGCCTTGAAAAGCTACCTTGAAACAGTGCAAACTCTATGTGCTTTGAAAGCCTGCATGAGCAGCAGGCAGAGGCCAACCTTTCTGCACATAAAGTAAGGACAGATGGCTGTCAATGCACTCTGAGCTCCCTGGAAGCTCAAGGGCCACCAGGAAGGATCAAGGGCCAGCAGAGGAGACAGCAGGCACCACCAGCTCCACCACTGCAGTGCACACTGAAGGAGGAATGCATTTTTGAGATGCCTCAAGGCCATAAACAGTTATCACTCTCCTGGGGATAGCAGCTGATTTACTTAACTTTTTAAAAACTGATTTACTGCTGATAACCCTGACAAGCTTTAAACCTTTGATGGTGGACTATGCGCAAATTCCCAGGAAAGAATGGAGTCTGGAAAAGATTGACTGTCTTGCAAAGTTTAACCTAGCTCCAACTAGACACTGAGGGATGACACAGAAATACTTCCTTGTGGGTATGCAGGACACAAGCTGCATCCTTGTTGTGGCAGGCTGGCTCATACTCATGGAATCCAACATACTTACCAAGATTCACAGGTAACATAAATCACAGAAAGCAGCATGGATCTAATCTCTGTCATGCTGGCATTTCAGCATAACTGTGCTCTATTATTGTTAGATAAGAAAATTACAGACTTTGCTTTTCCTTTTGAAGTCACAATGAGGCATCTCTCACAAAGATAAGTGTCTGGGGCTAGTCCCCCTCTTGGGGTTATCTAGTAGTCAGATGCTAACCAGGAACTTCCATTAATTTGGGTCTGTACATTCCTCCCACCAGTCTCTATCATTTACAAAACACAGCTCCATTAGAAGTGAGTGACTTAATCTGATGGATGTTCTGCCAGCATTAACACATGCTGATATGCTGACAGACTTGTACCAAGGCTGCAGTTGCTAAGTCAAATAATGGAGACTCGCTCTTACTGAATCTATTCAAACAGTCTCTTTACAAGCAGATCTGTGAAAGCAGTTTATATACAAACATTACACTCTTACCTCTTCTCCTGGATGTGAACAACTACATGTTTTAATATGTTATAAAACTGAGACTGTTCCAGACATATTGTCTGGAAGCACAAACTGATTTAAAGGTCTGACTCAAAGTCCAGTAAATTTATGGCGGGGATGCTGTTATCTTGCATCAAGTTAGTACAGAATTTAGTGCACTTAACCACAAGGCAAAATTCCCATTTTTTAAGTTATAGCAGGACACCAACATTTTTACCTCTGCATCTTTCAGATATTCCTTGAGGCTGTTTGGGAAAGCTCAGTCCTCATTCTATTTTTAAACTCTTTATTTGCAGCAGGAAAGCCAGTGTTTTCACTGCGGTAGCTGTTTGAATGAAGAATTAAAAAATACAGTAGAGTTCTTTATTTTAAGATTGCATAAACGCACAAAGATACTCTATCAGAAAGTCAGAAGAGTGGTGACCACTTGGAACTGCAGGCTTGCTCAGAAATAAATACGTGTATTTTAAAAACGCAGTGTAAGAGATAAATAACCAATAGGTCTGAGCAAGCAGGGAGTCTGATATGTTTGAAAATACTACTCCACTTAACATAATGGCCCAGCTGTCACAGTTGAGCACAGCCATGGTTCCTAGTTTATGTATTTATGTTTTTGAAGCAACTTTTACTATTAGTAAAACTAAGCACAGTGAGAGCATTTTCCAGTCAAGGGCAGAACACATCAGTGGAAAACATAACACTGCAGCTGCAGGAAAACTCCAGGAGATGGAGACAACCTGAAAGTTCTGCAGGTCCATGGGCTTTGCAGTACCTTATGACCAACTTGTTGATTTCACAAGTATGAGACAAACACACTACCTATGCCACATCTAAAAATACTTCTACTCAGAAAACATAAGGAGTGTAAGGCATTCTTTCCTGTATAAAATTAATTTCAGAATGTTCCAAACAGTGTACAAATATTTACATGTGCATATATATATATATATATATACATACTGCCAAACAGTGCAGTACTGTCTCTTGCTTTTACCACATAAACTCCAAGGAAAGCAAAGTAAGCTCAAATATTGCAGACCTAAAGGGAGCTTCCTGTTACCTTGTCACAGCCAAGCAAAGCTGTCACTACACAGCACTATACCAGCCATCTGAGCTCTGGTACTGAAACTAGTGGAACCTCACACACACAAGGCTGACTTCTATGTCTGTGAGTTCCAGAACAAATTCCAAATACCAAACTGCACCTGTAAATCAGATCCTACAGATGTCCAAGGGCTAGAAAATTTGCTGACAAAGCCACTGACTGAACCTCTGGCTCTAAGGCTAAGGTAAGCCTTGGCTGTTTCTCATAAGTTAAATAAAGTGAAAAATGTGCACGATGCAAATGCTTAATTGTCCATATCAGTGTAGACCCACACCAAGTAATGGAACTTTTAGGCTGAGGTAATGAAAAATTGCAATTCTCAGCTTTTTTGCTGCTTGCTGTCTTTAACTGTTGTGGTAACATGCAAGTATTGATTGCTTAAGTTACAAATTCTGATAACCTGAAATTGTGACATCCCTTCAGGAGATCAACACACCACTGCTCTGAAGGCATACTAGCTTTGGTGGCCTGGGCTTCTCAGGAAGATTTTTTACAAGGTTCAGGAGGAGCTACCATGGCCCACAACACAATGGCAAACACACAATGAGAAACTGATTGCCCTCACAGGAGGACTTCAGATACATTCAATAGCAGTTCAAAAACTTGTGCTTTGCAGGCTACTATCCATCACTAGACTGGAGACTTTTTTCCTGTTTTCCCATAATTATGCAGCTGTAGTTATGTGGCATCATTCACTATCTGTATAATAAAAAGCAATAAAAAACACCAGCAAACCAGGAGAAAAAAGTTATTTCCCACATCTTTCCATTTCAAAGGCCAATGTAACATAACACCAGATTTCCTCACTAACTTCCTGGTCATATAATCCATATTTATACAAACTAGTGCAAATGAGTACATGTCATTCTGGAAGCTCCAGCAAATTTGGATCTCATGGAAAGGCCCGAGGCAGGATGCAGACAGAAGGGTGCTGGACACTGCCACCCCTGCACGGAGCCAGGCTATGAGCGAGTGTACTGCACTGTGCTGTATTTGGTGACCCTGGAAGACTTGCTCAGTGTGGCACTGGCAGGAGACGGCCCTTGTGAGTCAGAGCCCATCAGGTTAAGTGGGGAGTCTGTGATCAGAGCCTGCTCTTGCCTTCCTGAGCTGGCACCTGTGGCCTGTTCAGCTCTGCTCTGCAGCCCTGAGGCTGTCACCACCCTTTCATTGCGCACCATGCTGCGTTCCTGTGCGGCAGCGGGGAAGCTGAGCGAGCCCTGCTCTGCAGCAGGCACAAGGACCCTCTCTCGCTCCCTCACCACGACATACTGCGAGTCAGGAAGATCCTGAACTGTCAGGGCTCCTGGCCCTGCACCTGCTGACTTCACCATCCTTTCTGTAACCACCACATTACTTCCGTGTGGCAAATCAGGGATTTTCACCATGCCCTGAATGCTTGATGCAGGTGCCAGCACCCTCTCTGTCACCACTACGTTCTCCTTAAACTGGGGGTCTAAAAAGACAGGGGCTGAGCGGGCAGGAGCCCCCACAGAATAGGATGTTTCTGTCACGGTGACATTGCTCTCTGCGTGGCCCGTGGGGAGGTGCTGGGCACTGTGCTGCCCAGAGTGGGATGATGAAAAGGTTGTTTCTGTGACCACCTCCTTGGACAGGGTGCTTTCCCCTGTGCTACTGCCTGTGTGCACAGGTGGGATGGACTGGAAACCACTGCCTGAGGCAAAGGCTTGTTCAGAGGTGGAAGCAGTTTGCTGATGTAAGGACTGTGACTTTGCTTCACTAAGACCAAAACCTGATTCATTCTTGTAGCCACCGTCTTTCATGTTGATCTGTCTACCTATACATATTTCTGCTAGAGTCTTAAACTTGTCTCCTAAATCATCAAGAAAATGGTCATCAAGATCCCCCTCAATAAAGCTGCAGCAGCCAACGGAGCCATGAGGGGAGCCTGATTCTCCCTGGGAATAAACCAGGAGACAGTCTTTTGCAGCTTGCTCTTCATCTTCTTCCGCAAAAGAGACAGCTTTCTGCAGACAGAAAACAAAAGCAAACAAAAGTTCATTAATGCCAGCTCTAGACTTGGTAATTCTGAAAAATCAGAAATACTAGGACAATTCAACAAATTCAAAATAAGAAATAAGAAACTGAACCGATCCCACAGAAACTGTCAACGAAGTGAGGGCTGTACCTAACACTTTTTTCTTTTTTGAAATTAATCTGAATTTGACAGTACACTTGATGAGAAAAAAAATCTGAGATTATATTTAAAGCCTTGGATACTATCACCAGCTACTGTTGATCCTTCCAGTAAATGTGCCCCTGGTGATACTGATCCACAGTCATAAAGAAATTGTTTTAGTTTTAGTTCAGTGAATGAACTTCACCTCTGACTAGGTTTTTGTGGGAGAACACCAACACCATTTCTGAGAGTACTCTAACATTTAAAAAAACATTTACTGAGTACATGCTGTCATGTTATCACCCAACATGGCCTTTTTCACTAGCGCAGACTACAGGATCACATCCAAGATGCCCAACAGGAAACAAATCAAAAAGTTAAATGGATTGGTAAAGCATGGATGCATAGTTCATCATATAAATTCTTAGGCTCTATGCAAGCTATCTGGTAAGAAGGAGGGCTCACAAGCTCTGGCAACAGTGCTTACAGGCTCAGCTCAATCTGAAAGCAGTGTCTGACATGGAGCTGCTGCAGTGCTGGCACAAATATCTGTGTATATGTTTGCATCAGCTACAGTTCCAAAAGTGAAGACAGCCAAGTGAAGACAGCCAAATCCTGTGGGCCTGCTGAACCAGGTTTATCTAATATGGCTCCTGGCTTGTGCTCAGAACCACCTTTCTGCCACATCTGAAGTTCTGGATTTGAAATTAGCTCAGGAGTCTGTGTAATGTGCTATATATCCAGACCCCCATTTGACTCTGCATGTTTATCTGTATTTGATCCCGGAAGTAGGTACACAACCCACAAAAATCAGCAGCTGAAACTATTTGGTTTGGTTACTTGTCTGTTTCCTTACCCCTAACCTGAGATACTTTAGCCTCCCAAAATGGATCCTTCTCTCCTGCAGATTTCATCAGTCAGTTATGCTTAAAGTTATGTAACAAAGAGTAGAAGAAAAGGAGATTGCTACTGTTGCATCTGTTCACCTAGGAGACTAGTACCGAGAGCACTCTGAGACATGCAAGTACCTAAAGCTCAAATCCTTCACTGACCTGAGGTAGTGATTGAAATTGCAAAGCTACTCCCCTGCAAAACCACATCAGCTGCCAGTAGTAGGGTGTTTTGTTTGTACAGGTGATGGTGCATGGAAGTCCAACTTTCACTACAAGGAGCTCACCAGCCATAGGACTAATGATGTGTGTAACATGAAGAGAAGTAGCTTCAACAAGTAGGAACAACTACTGGCCAATGATTAGGTCATTAAAAAAAAAAAAAAAGAAAAAGGATTGCAACATATGCCTCATACACTTTTGATGAATGGCCCTTTACCCAGGCTGCTGGGCAAACAGACAAGTCAGCACTACTCACTGCATCAGCTACTTTGAAAATACAGCCCCACCCACTGGTGTATGACATCTTCAGCTTATCTTTCAAAAACCTGCTCCGTGGTAAAGTTTGGAGCTGTGACTCATGATGAGTCACAGGTGCCTCCCTAGAGATCAGTTTCATGTTCTTAAGTCCCTGAGATTTAGATCACACAGTCTTTCTCAGGGCTTTTTCCCGGGCAAGGCACTCCTATACTATTGCTGAATATTCTGGATCCCATCCACAAATACCTCCCTTGAGAGAATGGTCTATTTGTGTGGCCTTGCAAGTGTTCAATGCCAGAAGACTGAACATTGTCACACTCCAAGTCCCACTCCAAGCGTGCCAATCCAAAAATCCTTAATGCCCCCAACTCCATGTGTACAATATCAGGACTGTTCATATCTACTCACCTCTGTCATAACATGATATTTCACAATGCTAAGTGCAAACATTAAAATACTGTTATTTTTGGGTCATATGCTTACATCGTTGAAGTAGTCTCTTAAGAATTCTTCATTCATGGCTCCAGCCGCTCCCACAGCAGCTCCTCCTCCAGACACGACTGTCTTCCCATCCACACCTGCCATGCCCTCAGCTGCTCCAGCTGCCATGGCTCCATAGTCGGCAGCAGAAAGAAGACGCCTTTGCTCTTCCCATCTTTCCCTGGTAATGGTGTTGTGATGTTCTCCTACATGAGAGACAGAGCTGCCTGCTCCTATTAGAGCTCCTTCTCCACTCATTCCTGCTCCTGCTGCTGCTCCTGCTGCCGCTGCTGTTGTTCCTCCTTTCACGTTCCCAAGTGCAGTGGGTGGAATGAAGCTTAGCACTGGCTACATAAATAAGACAAATTAAGATGTGACATGAAAGCTTTGCTGTCTAGCACATGGAACTCACCAAACCAGCAGTGGGGCTGGGTGGGGAACAGGGAGGGTGCTGCCTTACGACTTGTTTGAATTTGCACTTATACATGTTGCTGCAAAGAGTAAAAGGCCTCCTAAAACAGGGTGCAGCTTCCACAAATGTATTGCCAAGAAGGTTTATGGAAATGTTTCTATAGATCATTGTTTTCTTGAAACTCAGAGGATTGAAAATGAAAAAAACAAAACAAAACAAAACAAAAAAACCACCAAAAAGAGGCTTGCAAAACTCTAGGGAGCTCAGCTGTTCCAAGAAAAACTCTGCCTAGTTTTCCTCAGACACTAAGTGGGAAAGTATGCACTGCCCGCCACCTTTGCGGTACTGCCTGGCCCTTTTTTCCCTAGCAGTTTGGCTTGTTAATTATCTTTTAACAAGAATTTGGTGTGAGCATTGGCCCTAAATCAGTCTTTTACCTTCTGTTTCTGTTATTGTGCAAAAGCATGTCAGTATCATGCCCTTTTTTTAAAAATGTTGTTTTGTAGTGTAGCAACAAAGAGCAAATTTCTCTTGGTATTTACTGTTCTCTCTGCAGATTTGCACTTTTTCTGCCTTTTTCTTTTTTTACTAAGGAATTTCCTCTGTTTCAAAGAGAAAATACACAGAGAAGTAATTTAAAACAGCCTGAAACTTCAAATCAATGAAGGGAATCTCAGCATTATAACCCATTATTTTGCTGTTTTATCATGATCCCAAAGGGGTGCAGAGCATTCCAGGCTTGCAAAAGCAAATATTTCACTCTCTACTGGTTCAACGCTTTTCCCACAGTGCTATCTGCTGCTCAGATATGATCAGCATTTGCTTGATTGCTTTCCCTATATTTTGGGATTTAAGTGCTATGGCTGCTTTTTCTACAGCTGCTGGTGGAAGTAATCTCCCACACATCCTTCCCTGAGCCTCACAGGGTTAATTTTGATTAATGTTCATGTGTTGTTAAAATCAGCAATGTTGTAGAGCTTCGAAATATCCTCCTGTAGTGTGGCAGAGGCCCCAGGTGGCAAACTGAACACTGGGATAGAAATCAAAGAGAAGGGGGGGCTATTGGGGATACATGCCTTCTCCTCAGGAGCTGCTCCTTCACTGTTCCACTGGCGCAGCATCGCTTCACTGTGGTCTGGTATGTCAGTAAACGTCTTTGCTCCACCAAATCCCTTGGCTCCCAAGCCACCCGGACACAGCAGCAGCAACAGTGGAACAACTACAGGGAAACAGAAGGTTGCCATTAACTGTGTGGTTATTCTGACCTTAGCATGCTTACAGCCCCTGTAAGTTTGGCCAGCTCCCATACCCAAATGTATTTTTAATGAGCTAGTGATCAGTATGAGGGCTGCCAAGGACTGAAGACAGGTTCCCAAACATTTAAGGGATTTCCTAGAAGCATATGCCGAGGCCAGTTTCCAAGAGAGCAAACTGACATCTAACGCATCAGGGCCTGAATCCTGCAGATGGCCACACATGTCTGTACCTGTACTTCTATCAAAGATCTCACATACCAATTCCAAACCCTGGCTATCACTGTACAACCTCAGCATTTCTAACTCCTCCTCTTTTACTACCAGATAACAACATGGCGTCATGTAAATTCCACCTCACCACTCCTTTGACGTGCCTAGAATGCTGCCTGGGGGACTCAAAATAACCCAGTTTCAGAAGCAGAGAATATTATTCCTGTGGCATGAACTTTGTTTTATCACAATTAGATTGTTGCCAGCACAAGCAATAAACTATTGGGAGTTTAAATGCAGCACTGCTACACCTGGCCACAGCAGAATTACAAATATTCTTATTTTTATTTTATCTCATCAAAGAACAATGTCACATGCTGCTCTGAGCAAGGCAGTGAATCTGCAGTGACAGAAAAGACAGTGGAGAATGTGCTGTGGTTTGAGTAGGAAGAGCTAGGGTTCACCTGGGGACATCTCAGAATACCAAAAGCATTCCTCACTGCTTCCCCACTAGTTATTTACTGCACCATAAACAAATATTAAAAGTTGTTGATATTAATTTTAAAATGCACAGCTTGAAATCCTTTGAGGGTGAAATGCTGATATTACCAAAATTAGCTGGGGATCTGCCATGACCTCCACAAGACTAGGAGTTTACACAGAATGCATCAAGATGATAAAACCTGGGAGCTGGATTGTTTCTTTCCTGATGCTTTGCAGACCACATACATTACATTACAGTACTTCTGAGATGATATGAAACAATTACTTACGCAGCAGAAGTAAAAATGCCAAGATGATTAGTGCAATTGCAGCTGGTCCCAGACCCACTGACTTTGCTCCAATAAACCTCTCCTGGCACACACCATCATCTGTACACTCACAAACAGTCAGCTGCAGAGACTGTGGCAGAGCACAGCTGACCCCTTGGAAATCCTTTATTAGCATGGGAACTTCAGCTCTGCCCGGCTTCAGGTTTTGGGGTACCAGCTGTACACTGGTGTCTGACACAGGAGTGGAGGGAGGTTAAAGGAAAAAAAAAAAAAAGACAAGGAGTGAGCAGAGAGAAAATGGACTCCTGTAAACTAACTAAAATACCACTGTTGCAGTCTTCTACCAAATCCCCTCCAGTAAAGCCCAGCCAAAGCAATGGAATTAAGTTTAATTAGCTGTTACTATAGTACATACGTTTTTACTTTTATCAAGCAATTTTTCCTGGTAAGTGAGCAGCCATGCTCACTAGCAGTCTCAGATAATTCTGAAATTTCACATGACCAGAGACAGCACAGAAGACAGCCCAATCACCTGTATAGCATCAACCATGTCATCTGGATAGATAAAGGGTGAACTCACAGAGAAACAGCTTCAGTCTTGAGGAGATTAATCTGTTGTAGGCCACAGATAGAGATCAGGGGCCAACAAAACATCTGCTCCTGTGGCTATGTCATGTCAAGGACTAACTAGGCAGAAGATCACAGACTGGTTAAAGTTGGGAGGGACCATAGTGGGGCATCTCCACCGGGCCCAACCTCTGTGCTCAAGTAGAATCATTCTAAAGTATATGGCACAGGATTGCATCCAGACAGTTGTCGAGTATGTGCAGTGAGGCAGACTCCACACCCTGTCTGGGCAATCTGTTCCAATTGCACACCCACACGACAGTAAAGAAATTCCTCCCTGTATTCAGGTGGAAACTTCTTGAGCATCAGTTCCTGCCCATTGCCTCTTGCCCTATTGCTTGGCACCACCAAGAAGAGCGTGGCTCCATCCTCTTGACACTCTCCCTTCATCAGATACTTATAGATGTCAATGAGGTCTCCTCTCAGTCATCTCTTCTCAAGGCTGAACAGGCTCAGCTCCCTCAGCCTGACCTCATAAAAGAGATGCTCAAGCCCCAATTTTCTTTGTTGCCCTGCGCTGGATGCTCCAGGAATTCCACATCTCTCTTGTACCAAGGAGGCAGAACTGGACACAGCAGAGAACTGGACACAGCACTCCAGATGTGGCCTCACCAGGGCACAGGAGAGAGGAAGGATCACCTCCCTTGACCTGCTGGTGATGCTCTTCCTAATGCCCCCCAGGACACCATGGGCTGGTGTACACACTGCTGGCTTGTGTACAGCTTGTCATCTATGCTCAGGTAATGTAACACTGCATATTGTCCATAACGAGATGGGGATAGCTTGTTCTTAACATTATTCATGAAATCCTGGTCATCACACATGGGGTATCAAGCCAGACAAAGACAGTCAAACTGAAGGAAGGCAACACCCCAGAGGCCAGAGGACATGTCTGGACTTTTACAACCTTTAGAGTAAAGGGAGCAGAATGCAACACATGGTCTTAATGCCTGACTCCATATATAGGGTTGCTGTATTGGTATCACTCAGCCAAACTGTCAGTTTGACTGGAATTAATAAATTATGACCTTAGGACTTCAAAGAACTGAAAGTAATTAAAAAACCATTTTCTTACCATTTCCAGATACAATTATCCAGTTTTCTGCTGTCCCTTCTGGCTCATCAATGACAGTAAAGCTGAAGGGATAACTGAAGGGGTAACCATCCAAATCATGAGCTGTAACATCAACTAATTTTGCATCTGAACACACAGTCCGCACAGGGTTCACAATAACTGGGCAGTTATCATTCTCATCTTTAACCTGAATTACGACTGTGCCAGTGATTGTTTTCCTTGGGGAATCTAAGAATTTAAAATAAAAAAAATTAAATTGATTTGTGCACAAAAATTTATCTTAAAAAAAAAACAACAAACCCAAACCTTAGTATCTTCCAAAACTCCAACATTGCTGAAGTAAGTTGAAAGAGATCTCCCTGGAGCTTATGACAGCAGTGCTTCCTTCCCAATGTTAATAAATATATTGACAAGGCTTGTCTGAAGACAAGCTGGTTTATTACTTTAACTTGAAAAAAAAAATCCTGTGTGGTTACACAGTAACATGTAGATTATAAATGAGGAATTCTACTTAGATATAAAAGAAGTTCAGAGAGTCTTTCTTGCTTAGAAGTTGAGAAAACTTAGGACTATGTTTGATGACAGGCATATTGAGATAATGGCAATTCCCACCTTGCCAACAGAGTTTCCTATCAGACCTATCTTTGAAAACTTTTATGAAAAGTTCACCTCTATCCAGTCAAAGGGGAGAAACCTTGGGAGCCCATTCCAAAAAATGAGTTGCCTGTGTCTCTCCTTTGAATACTGAGACTGCACCTGCTGCCTAACTTTAGAGATGGGTAGGTTAAACCAACAACCCTTGTAGACAGGCAATTTGTGTGAAAACAAAACCCTCTCAACTTACCAGTAGTTACACCCAACATGGTGATAGTGTAGGTACCATTTACTACATGAGGTGATTCGTAATCAAGATTTTTAGCAAGTCGGATTTCACCTGTGACTGAGTCTACAGTGATCCAGTTTGCTGCATCTTTTCCTTTCATGTATCTGATGAAAATAATGCAAAGATGGACAATCAAAGATTCAGGTATGGGTGCAGCACAGAAAGTACAATCAGGGAGCGAGACTGGAATACGAGACAGAGCTGCACTGCTGGGCACTGTCCTCTTCCCCCCAATCTGTTCTCCCAGCAAAAGCTGAGCATTAGACACTCATGAAAAACTATTACAGGCGTGGGGGAAAGAGGTCCACCCCTGGGTGTGCAACTCTGCTGTGCACCATTTGTACAGGCCACAGTGGTGGTCAACCTTCTAGCTGAAAAGCTATGATTTAAAACCCAAGTGCACACATGCAGACGCATCTCTGTTACACCCTTTCTGTCTGACTGATAAATGTTTCTGCATATTCCTTCCTAATTTTACTGGAGACAATGGAATCAGATTGGCAAATCTAATCTCAAAAGTAGACAGGTATGACAAACACACCATGCAAACACAAACAACTTCAACCCAAACACTCAGGTCTCACTATATACAACAAAAGAAGGAGGATTTTTGCATCACCAGTTTTCTCCATAATAGAATACTGATGATCATTTTGATGTTTAAGGTGTGAATTATCATTAGCAGAAAAATATTGCCTCTGAAATTTTTTCAGTTTAACATGCAAATTTTGACAACAACAAATGACTTCTGACATACTCAATTATGATGGTTATAAAAAATTCTTACGTAATGCGCTCTGCTACTTTTCCAGTGTCTTCATCATAGGCTTGATACTGTCCAATAACCTGTTTTATTTGGAGTTTCTCACTTGCTTCAATAATTTTTGTGCCACCAGGGAACACAGGGCCTTCCTGCACATTGATCACCTTAATTTTGATTGGAATTGTTTCTGGTTTGTAACTGGGTTTAATTGACTTGTGGAACTCTGCTTTGTTTGTAACAACAATGCCTAAGTTTAGGCTTTGCATTTTTTCATAATCCAGCTCCTAGAGTAATAAAGAAAATAATAAAAAATTCAGAATTTGTCAGAATCCAATATCAACATGCATACATTTAATATTTAAATACTACTATAGCATACTTATTTGAGTAATAGGGATGTAAATATTTAAGTAATATTTAAGCAGTAAAGATGTTTCTTAACCTGTTACTCATTTTTAATGGATGACACCATAGGTACGGCTTTATATTATTGAATCAAACTTATTCAATGTATGTGAAAGAAGTCCTACTGCCTGTGCTTTCAGTGAATCAGTCTTTAATTACCTGGCTTCTCCAAATTTACGTGTTTGCCTTTTTTTTTTTTTTTAATCATTCACTTAGTAATGTTCAATTTTTTTTTTTAATAATTAGCAGCTTTCAGATAAGGAAACCTGAGCACGAAAAAAAAAGCTACTTAGGACACTATGTATCTTGAGTACTTGCGGACTAAAGAAAAGTGAAAATGACAAAATAGACATTTCCATTAATTTAAAATATTTTCATCACCATTTCAACTTGCTGAAATTCATAAATGTAGCTCATGGATCATGGAACAGGTGTTGCCTGCAGCATTAGCAGTGGCCAGGGGAAATAAAGAAATTTATACTGAAATCAAGGACAGCAGAAAGATGAAAGTTTACAGCACGTCAGTACTGTTGCCCAAAGGGCAAGGGAAGTCTGGGGACTTCTGCCTTACTATTTTTTTTGTGATGACAGAGAATGCAAATGGAAAAGCTTGACAAATTATTACCTTGCATGGAATTACTGAATGCATTAAAAATATGACAAAGGAAGAGTATCCACACATTTTACATATTGACTGAATAAACACAATTTGTCAACACAGACGGATAAATTATTCTAATATATAAAGCAGACTCTCTAAAATCTATACTTACCTTCACAACAGTCAAAATTCCTTCATTTGTTTGGGTATCTGTTACAATTTTGAAAAAACCACCTTCATTGCCAGAAACAAATGTAAAGTTTGCCAGCCAATTATCAGAAAACTCTTCGTCTTTGTCAAATACTTTTATTCGCATAATTTCCACATTTGCTCTGTTTTCTTCAATGCTGCCTTCAAACTGCAGTTAAAAAAAAAAAAATCCACTGTTTAAAAAGATGTCATGGTTTACCTCGTTTCATCAGTGCAAGGAATTTTGCACAATGTCTTATTATGGGGTAGTGGCAGGGGTAGGAACATGCTAAAAATTGTGATAATTGTACTTACTACACGACTTTCAACAACAGGCAGATTGTCATTGACATCCAGAATCTTGATTTCTAAAGAACATGTCGCAGCATTCCCACCTTTTTCACCACCACGGTCCTTTGCTTCCACCACCAAAGAATAGCTACTTTGTGTCTGTCATGGTAAGAAGAGGGTGTTTAATCCAGGCTAAAAATTCTTCCTTTGCTATATGATCTCTACTACATTTTGGTAATGTCTCTTATGGTTTATTTTAAGTCCTCTCTAGCTAGAAGTAAATTTCACAACTGCCTTGACAGATTCTGCTGGAATAGAACTGAGGCTTTGAAAAAGGTACAGGACTTTCACATCTCCCCCACAAAGAGTCAGACTGTACTTACAAAGCAAAGTAAAAAATTCCAGTGAGCATGAACAGGGACAGGACCAGTGACACCCGCATGTCAGGACACAGGCAGAGCCACATCCCTCAGCCACAAAGCCAGCATTTCCAACACCATCTGCTGGCCAGAGAAAACTCTGCAAGCACAGCTCATGTCCCTGGCAATATGTGACTTCCAATGCAGTTTCACAGTAGCACCTGTCCTAACTCTTTGAACCGCAATTTGCATGGCAGGCTACCAAAATCCAGATGCAGCCAGCAATTTTGCAGGTGGTGATCGAGGTTCTCTCTGCCATACACTCCCCAGCAGAAAGAAATGACACCTTGTTTTGTGTAACTGCTGCCCTGACTGCACAGGAGGGACAGAAGGCAACAACCATCAGGCTGGTGCTGTGCTAGGGAGATGGTGGGGGGGATACAGCCTTAATCCCATTGCCTCCTCCCTCTGTCCCTGAAAAGCATGCATCAAACAGACAAGGCTTTAATCCCAAGGGAAGTTAAAAAAGGTAAGAGGGCCAGCTCTCCACTCTGCAGGCAGGGCTGAGGGTGACACAATGGGCACCAGAGAACCTTTACTAACAAATATCAAAACGGGAGGGGTTTTTTTACCTCTCTGTCAAGGTTTATTTTTGCCACTCGAACCTCACCAGTATTCTTATCCATGCTGAATGCAGCGCTAGGGCTTTGAGAAACAATCCTGAAAGCAATTTTGGAATTTAGATTATTTGGTTCATCTGCATCTGTTGCATTTATCCTCAACACAATTGTACCTGGAAAACACAAACAAAATATGGCACTTGTTTACACCACCATGCACTGGTATATACCTTTATTGCAATGTCCAAAATAAGAGCGTTTTGTTAAATGCACTGCACAATTTTCTGATGCTCTTGACTTTATTTATTTAATGCATGAAGTTGAAGAAGTGTTCTTAAACCCAATAGGTACATGTCAAAAGTATATGTTCTAGCCAACAAAAAGATTGCATTTACATATCTGTAACTCATAAAATTCAATGCACAAATTAAACAACAGGTTAAATTCTCTCAGTAATTCTGACAGAAAAATGTAGATACCACACAGGGCAGAAAGTACAAGCTTTTGAACAATGAGCTACATTTCCCTCACATATTATTATAAAGAGAGCACTAATTATTCCTTTACCTGAACATTATTAAAACCACTGATCTGTACTGATGCTCTCCAACAGCTTCACTCAATATATGTGGTGGTATCCACGATGCAATCCCCTTTTAATTTAATATTTCTTCACATTATAGTGGCATTGAAACAGACACACTGTCAAGTATTTATTAGGAAGTTTTTTCCAGCTTTTCTAATCTTCTTGAAAATAATCTATTGCTCTTATGTTTACTGCTGTCAATAGGAAATGGCCATTAACCTGCTCCTCAATGATTGTGGCATAGTCATATGTGTTTGCTGATGTCAATAGGAAAATGGCCATTAACCTGCACCTCAATGGTTATGGCACAGCCATATGTGCTTACCAGCAAACTACCTCTGTAGCCCACAAATAAGGCAGGGCTTTGGAAGAGGATGGCAGAGTGAAGTCCCTCCCAAATAGGCTGTGACTAGTAGGCCAGAAGGCAGATTGCATTTCCTGTGCAATTCCTGCAGAAGAACTCTGGTTCCTGAACTTGTGGTAGCTCTGACAACAAACCAAAGGTGCCACAAGAGGAAATACTGTTCTCCCTTGCCCCTAGGGGGATGCTCTCCCTTAATCACACAACATAGCCTTGAATTAAATCCTTCATTCACACACAGATGAGCTGGCTTATGTGAGTAAGAGAACATGACCTTGCTACTGCAGATGTACTACTCAAAAGTGCAAATTCACATGTCCCCTTGCATATGCTGGGAAAAACTAAAAGAAAAAGATTTAAAATAAAGTTACCTGTTTCACTTAATTCTTCAATTGAACCAACAAAAACTTCATGTGAAAACACTGGAAAATTGTCATTTATGTCCACAACTTTAATTGGGAGGTCGATTGGCTCTTCCAGTTTTGCCCCATTCTTATCTAGCGCATGGCCTCGGACCTGATAATACAGACAGAAACAATAAATGAATCCAATGAGTGACTGTCATATTTACAAACACATATGCAAAACAGAAATACATCCACTATATATAACAAAGTCTAAATACTATAAAAGCTTATTACATATGCTTACAAATACAAGAAGGTATACACAAATATCCAGAAATACATTATATATATGTATTATTTCAAGCAGACACATTTGAAGAAAATACATAAAAAATGTATAGCAGGGGACCTATAAAGAAAAAAATTAATTTTCAACTTACAAGAAGAATGGGAGTCTTTTCTCTGTCCACCCTTCCTGTTATGTTCAGGTCACCAGTCTTTCCATTGATAACAAATAATCCATAAGGGGGTTCTGTTACTCCTTGACCAGATATAGTGTAAGTTACTACAATTCCTGTATCTTCAAGATCTGAATGTATCTAGTAGGAATATAACAAATTAAATAGCACTCAGTAAATAAAACCACATTTAAAAGTGCAACAAAATAGTTTTTCTGTCTTGTAATGAACTGACAAAAAAAATATTTAACACATTTCCCTGCACTCCTCTGACTGTGGACATGTAGAGATGAATGCAGGAAAGGCTGCATGTTCTATTTGAGAATCTGGTGCAGGGAGATGAGAAACATCTGGAGCAGGGAGTTGACCTGGGAGGTCAGACCTCAGCTGGCAAATATACCAGGACTGGAGAAGGGATAGGATGGAGGGAAAAGGTCAGACCTGGAGAGAACACATAGAAGAGGCTGCAGAGACTAGAGATTACACCCTTTCTCCGCTGTCAGCAGATATTCAAACCAGCTGGAAAAGTGTGCATTGTACCAGTATCACCATCAAGGGGCATCCCAAGCAAAGGGCAACAGTTTGCCACCACCTGCAGTCACTTCATACGCTGAAGTGGTAGGAGTGGTGAATTTAGGTTTGAATGCTGGTGCTGAACCAGGTGCATACCACTCTTTCACACAGGATAACACCTGGATTATTTTTAGCTCTTTTTCCTAAAAGACTAGGCATAAATAATCATGTTCTATGTACATCTTTCTGCTCAATTAGCACCAGCACATTTGGGACCCACTTGACAAGTTCAACTCCACTTGAGAAGTGGTAGTGGGGTGAAAAAACTCAAAGATACTGCATTCCCAAAGCTTAATGAAAAATGGGGCTATGAAAAGATGAGAGATTGAGCCAAACCAGGCTTTAAAAGTAAAGGAAACAGAAGGAAATTTGTCAATCTTCAACTGGCATTCAAGTCCTTTAAAATTACAGAAATATTTGTGCATGCATTTAAGGGAAGCCACACTTATTTTACATTTCCATCTCTATTTTTTATGTGTATTTCATATTTAACTGCTTTCTGGGCTTACTCTAGCAATTGGATTCTTGTAGGAATTGTCCTCCTCCTCCCGTATGAAAGCTGGAGGGACTGTCCATTCTCGCTTCTGTCTGACTGGGCTGCTGGGGTGAGACAGCAGGCCACTCCTGTCATTTCGGTTATAAACCTGTGAAAAGACAAGATGGAATGTCAGCACTGCATTTACTCATTTCAGATAAATGCTTTATTGCTGCTGTAGACGAGACTTCTGAGCAACTTTTGCTCTGTCAATAGCTAGTGACTTCAAAATCATGGAGCAGCATCTGCCTTCTGAGTCACAATCTGAGAGCTACACAGTCCTCAAGCTGGCTGAAAACTGCACTGGTCTTTTCATCAAGATAGAATTAGGCAAGACAGGCTTTAAAAATATGAGCAAGTTTCCATGACCAGCAGCTGGTGAAAATACACCTGCTCTGGAAGATTTACATGCTCGTCATCAGATGTGGGAAGAAGTTTGGCACTAAGGCTGTTTTGAACCACCATTTCTGCATTACCACCGTGTTTCTCTTCCCACCAATAGTGCCTTGCATGTTTAACTTTCTCTCTGAAACAGAATACATGGAAGATCAGGCTTCTATTCAATCCACCCAATGTCTCTGCTATCTCTGTTTAACTACATCTCATTCTCACTCTGCATAAGACTCCACATCCTTCTGTCCACTTTATTTTCTACTGTCTCTGTTGACTCCTAGTTTAACTAAAACAGTGGTTTTTCATCTACTGAGTTCAAAAAAGCAATCGACATTTTTACTGTGTTAGGGGAAAGTTTCTTAAAGTTCAATGCCACCCTAGGTGACGGATGTAGCAATCTGTTCACTTACTTTTCAGCTTTCATTTCTCTATTCATTATGCAGTTTTCACATTTCACAAAATGGTAGAATTGAAGGCATTTATCAACTGAAATAAGGTATGGATTTGACGTGTTGCTCAGAGAACCCTTCTACAGGCACTGATAAAGAAAAAGCTTTCCATTATATCCTACCTTCACATAGAGCCCATGTCCATAATTCAGACAGATCTGCAATAGAAATTATGAAAGTAATTATTAATTCTATGTCTCTTCAGCAGCACTAAAACATAACTTTTGTCATCTGCTTCGTATGAACAGCAAAGCCATAAGGAAGAAGGCTTCTGACACATATAAATTAATATTCATTATTTACCCATAAGAGCTTCTGAAAAATTCACCCATAACCATTGGCATTAAAAACATGCAGCACTTTGGAGAAGCTCCCTTTTCTGGGCAAACCTTGGATTTGTGGCTGTGGGTTACCAATTGCATCAGAGAAGAAAATCAGATAAATGGTGTTTAAAGTAAGGACTAACCCAAACATCTGCTGAAGCATACACGACAGAAGCAGCTCTCCTACTCAGAACCTCGCTGGGAGGATAAATGGCATCACTTATTTAAACAAGGCAGAGGCGCTTGCTCTGACAAAACCTTGCAGGCCAATGTTCAGCATTGGGACTGCCCACCTGTTCACACACCAGGACAGCTATGCATAACTTTGAATGACTCAGTTAGGCGACAAATCCTGGCTGGAAGAAGCCAATTTTTCAGAGACCCCACGTTTATGTCCACTTTCCAGGCACCACAGACTCTGCAAGTAACAACACCCCTCAAACTGCAAAAAATGCAGGTATTGGAAAGCAGCAACAATAAAAAGTAGGCTATTGTAACATGGGAAACCTACAAATCAAGCTTTTGAACTTTGTACAGGTAGCAAAAACTGTTATTGTTCTGAAAACTATTACTACTTATATTTTGCAACTTAGGTGATCATTTTCTTAGGCATACCACTGCCTAAGACAGAGCAGGCTCAGAAAAGGTGGTTTTCTTCTCAAATAAGTCAGTCTCTGACTGGTTTCTAGTCTGTTCACTGGGCTCTCCCTATTCTTCCCTCTGACTCAGCCTTGATTACTGAATTGATGACAGCTTCTTTTTTTTTTAAAGATGTTATCTTGTACCCACACAATCTAGTAGACTGTGTTGAGCAATACAGCAGATTTCTGTTTCAACTTGTTCAACAGAACTGTTTTTCAAATGGTATTCTTCCCAATGTATAGATTCTGAAGACAGAAATTATTAAGCAGTAACTTTCCTAATGGATATGCATCAGGAAGGGTACAGGATCTCACACCAAGGTCTTTTCATGGATGTTCTTAATCTTATTTTATTTTACTAATAGGATGGATTTTTAAAATTTATTTTCATGACTAATGAGATTGTACCAGCATGAGTGTCAGGAGAAATTTGCTTTATAGTCCAGGCTTTCCACAGAAGCTCCAATTCTTTTGGAAGGTGAATAATTGTGAAGATATCATTAGAAACATCCTGGATTGTTCTAACTGGTAAACTGGAGGGAAAACTGTTTGTGTTTCAAAACTGAATGGAGACAAGAGCATGCACTGAGAAGTTTCCTTGTATTTGAAATCTGAGAAACCACTACAAACAAAAATGTCTGAAAACCAAGAATAAGCCGATGTTCCACTGAGATGCATGTCAAAAATGTGTAAAAAATTCCACTAGTCATTATAAAAATAAAATCTTTCAATAAGATAAGTAAAAGTAAAAAATCAATTTGTTTGCATAGCAGAAAATGTCCCTCAAAACTTTCCAGATTAATGCTAAGACAATAAAAAATAATTTTGCTCTTGTATTATTCAATCTGTAGTCTGCAGGTAGCCTCACAAGGGACTTAGAAGATATCTACAAAAAATTTTTAAGAATGATGATTTTATTCACAAGATACATAAATACAAGGGGAAACAATACATGAAGAGGTCCAGCCTTTTATTTTTCAAAAATTTTTAAAGTTCCAAAAATCTTAAACTGGAGGAAAAGCACTTTTAATGACATTTTCTTCAAGGACAAGTGAAATGTCAGAATTTACTGCCTGTCGAACATGAGAATTCTCTCCCCCACATTATCTTTTCTTTTTAGCATCTTTCAACTGCCTTCTGTTAAATGGCTCAGAGAAGGAAAGCTCTGTCATTTGCTGTAGATCATAGCCTAAGCACATCAGGTGTCTGATCAAAAACCAGACACCTACTGATGACACCTGTTGATCAGAGCTGAGAACATTGTCAGAAGAAAATGGGATGGTAACAAAAAAAAGTCTGTGGCCTGAAGTAATGAAACTGGAATGAAACACTACAGGAAAGAAGCAGGAATAGGCAAGAAGGCATGGGAAAGAAGGGAGTGACTGCCATGTATAGTGACTGCAAGGCTGCTCTTGCCCAAATCCCTTCTCATCTATAGTCAGGAAGTGACTAACAGACAGATTTTCAACATAAAGCTCAGATTTAAGCTGTAAAACTATAAAGACTGAGTAATCAAGAAGGTATGTGTCTGTATTTACTACACCAGTTACAGTAATGACTAGAAATGTGATCTTTTCTGTGTGCTGTGTGTTAGGAGATTTGAAGCTTGCACCTCCTGTGAGTCAGTCTGGTGTTGAAGACAACATGTGAAGACCCCAGAGAAGCAAGCAAGGAGGACTCTCCAAGGTCATCTACTAGTACATCTCTTGGCCCTGGGGAAAACAAACTACACCCAAATGCTTCCTGACAACGGTTTATCCTGTTCTTAAAAATGAGGGATGGATGTCTCTCAGCCTCACTAACCTAAGGGGGCTCCTAGATAGTCCTACAGATGAAAAGTCTGTTAATTTTCATCTTCATTTTATTATCCTGATTCTTAGCTCCTTGCAAGTTGACCATATTGCTGCTTGCATGATATTCAGAGTAAGGCACACAAATTTACATATCTAAATGAAAGCTAAGCACCTAAACTTTCATTATGACCAGCAGAAATACAGCCAATACCCACAGAGATCAGAGCGCTGCTCAACTTGCCCCCAGACCAGTCCATATTTATTTCTCTCTGAGCTCTTCTGATTGACTGTAAGTATGTCCAATTAAGTATTGTAAACCCAACACAGGAGGATTTGTAGGGCAAAGCATTTGATGCAGAAAACCCAACATCATACAACCCATGGTTTGATGGATCCTTCAGACTAGAATTAGCTTGTCCCCACAGATCAAACATCTACAAGCAGATGGATGCATCTCCCAACATGGTTTTACTCAGGAGGGATACAATTCACTCACTCTTGAGATTTTCTTCAAAAGTACAATATGATCCAATCAAACAGGTGAACTTAGCATCCACTGCACCTCCATATACCTTTACAGAAACTTAAACATTGAGATTTCTTAGCCTCAAACCTAACCTTTGTCATGCTGACAATGCTCTCATTGTATGGTGCAATTCGCTCTTCTTCCACTCTTCATGTATCTGCAAACTTATCAAACATCTCACTCACTCACTGTCTTTTCTCAACTACCAGTTCTTTTATTTCCCTTAAAAATGATAAAATAGGATTTTGTGACTTTAGATTTTTTTTTTTTTGCTGTTCTGTAGTCTCTTCTGGACAGAATCACTTTGTTCTGAAGTCTGGTCTCAAAAGTAACATACCACTTCAGTTCAACAGGATGGATAAAATACTAGACCTTATGTATTTCTCAGCTGCTTTCAGACCTCACCGCAACTGGGCTTTCCCTCCCTTTTGGAACAATATTAAAATGTTGAATCAATCCACAGATGGTTCTAAATACTTTTACCACATTTCAACATGTTACTGGCAACAGAAGCTAGGTTGCTTTGAATTAGCTCACCTTTGCTCTTTGTAAAACCAAGTGCCACTTTATGATGGTTTTTATTTAACTTGTTTCTGTGACTTCTGAAAATTAACTGCTACTGACTCTGACATTACATCTAATATATTCAGGACTGAATTTCATCATACCCAGCCTAAGTCTAACATTCCAAACATCAACAAAGTACAAACTGAGGAAGACGTTCAGAGTAAAGGTAAATTTTGCTACTCCCATAGTAAGATTCATTTATCTCTGTCAACTATTCTTTCACTCAAATGCAGGAAGTGTTCTAAGCCTTCTTCTCTTGAAGCCATGATGTCCACCCCCTTTAGAAATGACCAAGAAACCTCCCAGTCTATCCTCAATAGCCGTGCCTGCTCGGCAGGCCCAGGGATCTGGGTGTGTGCCCTGGGCACGCTCCAAGTCAAGCCCAACCCTTTGGGTGCACCACCATTCAGCACAAATGCTCCAGGAAAAGGGTTCCTGGAAAAAAATCCCCGGGAGATTTGCTGTGACCTCTGCAAGGTACCCAGGGATGATGATACGGGGATGCAGCCCACAGGCAGGGAGGGAGCACTGAGAGAGACTTCCAGGAAAAAACTGGGAGAGGAAGAACCTACCATTCCTGATGCTTCTAAGGTAGAAGATGCTTTGAGAAGACACTACTTTTAGACTAATTTTGTTTTTCAGTCATTTCTTAAGATTCATAAGAAATAAATGACCCTAATCCAATACTCTCAAATAGGAAACCTGACTTTTTGATTAGGAAAAAACCCCCAAAATTTCAAAATCCAGCAGTGCCTCTCTCTTCTGCCATCAGCAGCTTTATTCACTCCAATATTCTAACAATGAGTCTTTTAGGCCATACTGAGTTGACTCTCAGTACATCATATCCTGACTCAGCCTAAGCTGAAGCGGATGATGACGAGGATTGAAAAAAACAACGTCCTTCAGGCAAAACTAACAGCAACCTGACAGTGCAAGCCCACCAAAATGGACAATGGTGTGGCTTCAGGTATTGCAGGAAGAATATGTAAAAACTTTTGCACAAGTGGTGCTCCATGTTTTCCATTGTTAATTTGGACAAAATGAGGATAAAACATTTTCCAACCAAACCCCAACTACCAGCTTGCTATAAAAACAGGTTTAACTGTTGCTGGCCAATTTATGCTCAAGCATATGTCTGGATTAAAGTAATGAGACGACAGGTCTCCAGATAACAAATCTGATTTTGCAGGTTCCCGAGCTCAGGCAACAAGATCCCGACCCCCAGCTCCTTCCATTCTGTCCATGCAACGAGCCATTCCTGATCCCTGCCCAGCTGCTCGGCAGCTCCTGGCACAGCTCAGGGCATGGCCTCCACCCTCACCTTTGTCTGATTGGCGGCAGCCCAACCTCCACAGGCGTTCTGCCAGCCTGGAAAGGTGAAAAGCAAAAGAAAATGCCGCAGATACAATGAAGACTTTGCTGTAAATCAGCTAGAAAGAGCTAGAAAACATCAGTCCAAATCCAACAAACCAAGCGTTTTGTTCCCAGTTTGTTATGAGACAGTCTTTGCTTTTAGCCTGAGAAAGTATTTCATAGGATGGAAGATCTAAAGCTGATGGCTGAAAAACAGCGAGGGAAGGGCAGGAGAAAGCCTGAAGAGTCCTGGATTGTTAATTTTTCTAAGGTGATAAAGAATTCCAAACTTTTTGACTCATCCTCCCTCCTGGCACTGTTCCCTCAGAAGAGAAATGCAATTTACTAGTATAGAGAGTATGCTGAACATGAAAACGGCAACAACGCGAACTCCTCACGGCCTTCCCATTCCTCCCGGCGCCTCAACAACCCCACCCATCCCAGATACCGCTCCTGCTGGGCTTTCCTACCTCCACCTGCTTTCAGGCAGCAAAGGCGATCAAATTCCCAAAGAAAGCGAGAAAACCCGTTCCCAGCCACATGCAGCGTTGGCAGGGCAGCCAAGCGCCGACGGGCACACCTCTTTCGGGCGGCCGCACTCGGGACCCCCGCGGCAGCACCACCGCGGCTCCATCCCGCGCAGAGCAGCGCCCCGGTACCGAGGGACCCAAAGCAGCGCCCCGGTACCGAGGGAGCCCCTCGGCAGAGCAGCGCCCCGCACTCACCAGCAGCGCCAGCAGCCGCCCCGCCGCCACGGGGCCCCGCGACATGACTGCCGTGCCGGGATGGGACAGGACAGAGGATAAAATGTTTTATCCCCTCAGCTCCTGCGGCCGCCCCACACGGGAATGCCGCGGCCCGCCGACGGAGGGGGGCACAAGTAGCCGCGGGTGGGTGGAGTGTGGCGGGCGGGATCGCGCCGGGAGGGGGCAAGAGGCAGCCGGGCCCGAGCCCCGCCCGGCCCGAGTCCCGCCCGCGGAGCCTGCACGGGGCAGCCCTCGGAGCGGCGGGCCTGGCTTCCCCAGGGTGCCCCAAGTTGGCTGTGGCCTGTTTGCCCCGCTTCCGCCCAGGGAGGCGAGCCGGGCCGTGCGGGAGTGCGCAGGGCTGCCACAACAAACGGATACATGGAGGAGTAATTGGTAGGGGGGAGCGCAGTCTCACCGGGAAATAAAATTGTGGGCGTTTTTAGGACAACCTTCCCTGTAATCCTCATTTTTTATACGCTCCGAGCCATATCCTTGCTACTCTTATCTGGCAGAGATCTTTCCTGGATACACCTGATTAATTGGTGCTTACGAAGGCATAGCTGATTTTTCATGATGGCGAAACAATTAAATGTGCTTTCTTGTGCATCCTCTCTGCTGAGGCAGTTACCTGGTTAATCTTTCCAGGATCACACTCAGTTGTGGTGAGTAACTTCAGAACCTGCTGGTCATGATACTATTTTTTTGATACTATTGGGGTCGGAGAGGGGAACCAGCCTTAGGCGAGTCTTTCCAATCACATTATGTACCTTTATTGCGTGTTGTAACAATGCACAATAATTAATTCAATGTCAGTTGCAACAATAATAATTTCTATGAGGGGAAGAGCTTTAACCCAAAAGTTTTTCTGAAGTGACATATATCTGTGTTATTTACTTAGAATATACCACTTCATGGAGTTTGCTGATACCCCTGCATAAAAATAGGTGCCTTAATATAAAGAAAACAAAAGGGATAAATGAGCCAATATATTTGAAATGCACAGTATTCGGGGCTTTTGTATGCCTTCTTTGTTTTGTTACTGAGTCACTGTGCTGGACTGATCACTTTATACCCACACAGAATTCTGTACGTTCACACAGCAGTACACACTGAGATCCTGTGAGGATTCTTCTTCAGGGTCTGGAGGACAGGGATGTGTTCTGGCCCAGGTTTACTGCAGGTAATGGTAATAGAAGTACTGTGAAGTTTTCTGTTAGCTGTTCCTGTTGGAGATCAATGAGGCAGAACATGTCTTGGAGAGCATTCATATTGCAGCCCTTTCAATTTGGTGATTTAGAAGTAGATTCTTCTTTCAGATGTATATTGTTTCCTAGACTGATGGTCAAGTATTTCTTTACATCAAAAGGCTGTAAGAGAAGAACCATGATTTGCAACTTTCTTTTCAATCTGCAGGTTGCTTTGTGGAATTCTGAAACAGTTTTTCATTGCCGATCCAGCACACTGTTAATGAGATTATAGTGTAAATATATATATATGTATATATATATATACACACACAACTATTTAGCAACTTTAAATGCTGATATGGTGGAGTTAAAACCTAAATGAATTTCTTTTGAAAAGTTCTTAGCATTGATTTCCCTTTGAAGTCATATGTGCTTACAGGAGAAATGAATACAATAATCTTTTCCCAGAGCTCAATAGCACAGGAGCCCTTCTGCAAATTATCTTGCCAGAGCTTAGATGTCTGTTCTTAAGTTGTTTATGGCTTAAGTGTGGGCCAGTTACATGTCTTGGACATCCTACAAGAACCTCAGCTATTATAAAGAAGTTGTTTGTTGTTTTTTTTCTCTTTAACTTGGCTGCCTTGTATGAAAAACTTCTGTGATCCCTATTTACAAAAATAATTATCCTGCTGTTACAAAAGAATGTCAAACACTATCAATTTTGTTTTAGTACAGCTACTAAGTGTGTTAGCAACCATTGAGGCTGAATTTCTTTCTGTCCTTCCCCCCACTTAAACCTGGCAGCAGCTAAACACTCCTCCCACAACCAGGCTGCAGTTCTGTCCCTACAATCAGTTTGCAAGGGAGGATCCATTGAGCATTAGATTTTTTTTTTTCCAGCAGCAATTCAGAGTTCACTGACACCGCAGAACAAAGAGAAAGTTAATCTGTGCTTTTCAATAAAAGCAGCTGAGCCCTTCTTGGTGCTTGGTGAGGAGAGGGGCTTTCCAGGTGTAAGGCATGCACCAGGTTGCTGTTTTCTCAAAGTACAAACATCTAAAAAAATGTCTAAATTCTCTCGATAAACTTTTAACGGCAATTAATTATCATGCAAAAAAGCCAAACTTTTGTCAGGGAGGGAGAGTGTTTGCTCTCAGGAATAATAGTTGTAAGCACAGGTGTTCTAGAAAGTTGCTATCACACCCTTGCCATAGTGGCTGGGTCTTGGTGACTCCTTTGAAGCCTTGCCTTGCCCCCAGCTCTGCCTGCCGCTCCCTGTTCGTGCTGACTAATCTTCCCTACATCAGTGCCTGGAAACTTCTGGCTTCCCTGGGGTGAAGGACAAGGGAAGCCAGCTTGATCAAACCAACAGAGTCCATCTCTGCTTCCTACAAAAGCAAGGTTAACTTTATAGTTGTGGTTTTTGTTGTTGTTTTTTCTAAAACAATACAGTTTCTTCTTGACAAGTGATTCAACCAAATAAGACAAGTGTGGTATCTAGCAAATGGTGTTAAGGTGGAAAACCCAGTGCATATTCTTAGTAATGAAATGTTGAAATTCATTTGTATTTACATGAAGCTATTATACAAATATTTTGCATTGTTTGAGATTGTCATTAATCTTTTCTGGGTTGTTTACAGATTCTTTACTGTGGTCACAGATGCCACTTATTTTTTGGGAAGAGATCCCAGTAGAAAGCAGTGTATCAAGGCATTGCACAGATACATCAAAATAACATTTATTTATTTTAAATAGGTAATGGATAATGCATAATATGTAAAAAATTATACACATCACAGAGGGTTTCTAACACTCATACAGCTCTTGAGAGCAGAACAATTGCAATAGGTAGAGTCACCAGCTTCAAAGTGCTCACAGAACCAAGCACATGCATTTTTTTTGAGAACAAAAATGCTCTAGCTGAGGAGAGTAGATTAGCAGCAGGATTTGATACTTTAAGCAAACACTTGGCATTCTAAAAATGGAGTCATTGTTGTTCCTGTATGGGTGAACAATGTTTTTTATTCTCCATGCCTCCTGTCATGCACCTTAAACAAATTCAAACAGGAATAACCCCCCTCCCCCACTTTTTTTTTGCATTACCTCCTCTCTCTCACTTAACTGCTTTTTCAGCTCTTTCCCTTATATGCATTGTTCTATTTGCTTATTTGCTACTTGCTGGTTTTTTCCTTTCTCTTTTTTTTTTCTTTTCTGGTGTGGCCAGGTTGTTTAACTTTTCAGTGTGCCAGGTGCAGTTGTGGAAATGAGTAAGCCTGCTGAGCTGCGAGCTGTGGGATTGGCAGAGCTGTAAAATAGCCAGGCCAGATCCTTGCCCTGAACACAGGCGTTTTGTTACCGACAGGGTGATACACTGTCTTTTATGTGTGTGTGAAACAAGGCGTGGCAGAGTAACCCTTTCCTTGCTTTCCTCTGCATAGGAACTGGCGCTGCTCTGCAATTGCCTGTAGACTTTTTTCAAGGTGGGGTGGATCTCTTTCTGGCAAAGCTCATGACACAGAGCATTTAGGTAGATACAAATAAATGTCTGCTCTGCTGTGCAGCTAGTAGAATAGAACAAAATAAATGGAATAGAATAGAATAGTTCAACTGGAAGAGACCTACAACTATCAGTCAGTCCAAATGCCTGACCACTTCAGGGCTGACCAAAAGCTACAGCATGTCATTAAGAGCACAGCTGAAAGACTCTTAACCTTAAGCTTGTTGATAGCTTGGGGCATCAGCCACCTCTCTAGGAAGCTTGTTCCAGTGTTTGAGCAGCCTCTCACAAAAGAAATGCTTCCCAATGTCCAGTTTGAAACTCTCCTGGTGGAACTTTTAGCTATTCCCACATGTTCTGTCGCTGGATACCAGGGAGAACAGATCAACACCTCCCTCTCCACTTCCCCTCTTCGAGAGGCTTCTTGTAGGAAGCAATGGGTTGGCCCCTTAGCCTTCTTTCCTCCAAGCTGGACAAACCCATAGTCCTCAGGCACTTCTCACAGAACATTCCTTCCAGCCTTTTCACCAGCTTTGTTGCTCTCTCCTGGACATGTTAAAGGACTTTGACATCCTTCTTGACTTGTGTGGGGCCACACAGTGCTCCAAGTGAGGCCACACCAACACTGAACACAACAAAATACTTTTAAAATTCCTTTTAAGACTGACTGGTGTGCTGTGTTTGATGTACCCCAGGTTGGGGGTTGCCCTCTGGGCTGCCAGGGCAATGCTGACTCCCACTGAGCCTCCTGCTGGCCAACACCCCCAATACCCCTCTGCAGGGCTGCCCTGCAGCCACTCCTTTCCCATGTTATACTTGTGTTGGGCAAAAGTAGAAATATTAGCCTCCTTTTGGTCTGTGAATTTTCATCAGTGCTGAACAGCTGAACTGTATTCAACAGAAAGATAATTCTGAAAAGTTGCACCTTGGAAAAAATCTCTGCTGATCTTACTCTAATCTGTCAAGTCCAGTATTAGCTGCAATGGTACAGTGTAAGTTTTCAGGGACTGGAGATTCAGGAATGTGGCATCCCCAGTCTCAGAAGAAAAAGAGTATTATTCTATTACTTTTTTTCTGTCACAACTGAGCTTATAAATGTAAAACTATTGTGTGTGCCTGTGTGCTCTGTCAGTAGGTAACTTTAGAAGGGGCTGGTTTAGCAAAAAAAGAGGGCTCCAACTGAAGAACAATGCAGGCAGGAAACCAGATATCAACTGACTTGAAGTTTAGGATGGAAATTGGAGAAATGTTGAACTCTGATTGGTAGACTTTGGTGTGTCTGGGTTGGAAATTCAGAGACGAGAGCTCAATGGATTTTTGGGTGGATTTCAGTCAACTCA